TTTGGCCGATATCCGATATGCCGATATTTTAAAACTCATGTAGCCGATAACCGATATCGATACCGATGTTAAAGCTGGACAAAAATAAGTAGTCATTGAAAATAGCAGTTTTGTTATCCATTTCTGACACTTTGAAAAATAATATACTCAAATATATTTTCATATGCTGATATCAAATAGATTTTTAAAAACGCGGTATCGATCTATTTTACTTTCAAAATCTCGTGAAATTTCATCGTTCTGTTACAAACTCTCGTGATATTTTGCAAATTCTTGTGAGATTTTGTTAGTAAAATAGATCGATACCGCGTCAATATGTCAACATAAAAAAATATTGCAACATTTTGTAAATTTTCGGGGTATTTCTTAGCAAAACGATGACATATAGCAATATTTCATTAGTGAAAGAGATTGATATGGTGTTTTTAAATGGCAATATATCAGCATATGAAGATATTTTGATTTTTTTAATGGATCAATATTTTTTCTCTCGTCTTTAGAAGTTTTTAAGTCTGTAAAAAAGAAGTTTTTGAGGAAGAAGAAGTAGTACTTTTTTTTTTTTTTTAGACTTTAGAAACTCAGAAGCTGATCAAACATCGGGTTAAATATCGGTGGGGTGCCGATTATATCGTGCATCCCTAGTAGTAGCCATTCATTTTCCCCCACTTTCCTTATAGGTCTTTGGCTGGTCCCCTTTAATTCCTTTTAAACATCAATATTTGTACAAAAATGTTCTTTCTGTCATGATTTGTGGACATTAAGATCTAAAGAAAAGCATCTTCTCCTGGACAGACCCTTTAATTCAGTGAAAGGGGTGGAGTCAGAGTAAAAAATATGTAAGAGGGGGTCATTCCAGTGGCTGGAAGTTGGAGGGAATTTGACTGCCATTCGGTTGATAAGGGCCATTTTAAATGGCTGCTACTGTAAAACCGTCAGTTGATGACAGAGGTGGCTGTTGGACATGAAGTCAGAGTTTAACTCTTTAAGAGATCAGCTGTTAGCCTGCAGATGCTTCGCTTACGTTATCAGGAAGAAGCAGTACCGTCTGAAGAGGCGGGATTTCCTGAAACGTTTCAAATCAATGGCTGTTTATTTTCTCAGGCTGGTTGAACCTTCAACATGAGAAAAGTTAACATGACCGCAGAAACAGATCGTAGTAAGAGAGAATCTTCAGGCAGCAGGACGACAGAAGGAGCATGGACTCTATTAGGGGCCTCCTAGTATTAAATCTGAATACATAAAATGCTCAGAATTTGCACAGGGAGTAGTTTATGTGTGCGTGTTTAAAATAAAACTGCTTGAATGACTATGAAATATGTGCCCCTATAGATACTTTGCTCCAACTATAATACTAAAGTAGCCCCCTTTAGAAACTTGCAAAGCTGGTAGAAGTAGCTGCATGTCACACATTTCCCATTTATAATCGTTTCCCAATTCAAAAGTATATTTGCTTTGGGAAGCGAGCATTGATCACCTGATCTGTCAGATCTGAATCACCTGACAGAGGCTTGAAATACAAATTAAATGACAGTTATTCTAAATAATCAAACCAGATCCGAGACACAGGGGACCCCTTTGCTTTTCAGCAGAATGAGATTAGACTGATGCATGTGACATTAACAATATCAGCAAACAAATATATGAAAGCATGAATGAAAGGGAAACAGAAAGCGATTTTCACAGCCAATTTGAGATTGCAGTGTGTGTAGGAGATTCTGGCAAACAGCACACAGAGAAGGCTGGCAGCGGAGGCAGCGAGGCTCACAGGCTGCAAAGCAATTTCACTGTTTGGCAATAGTGTTGTCTCTGTGTGTGGATTAGAGCTGACACCAGAGCAACTGAGTCATGCTAAATGTAGTACAATCACAAGCTTTTGTTCCTGATCTAAAAATCCCACACTGCCTCTGAGATCCATGAAAGAGAAGCTGCAAACCGGGCGCAGAAGATGGTAGCAAACAAGTGGAGCATTATTTTGCCATATGAGCGAGGCGCTGCGACATGGACAAAAACAAAGCAGGGATTAAAAGGAAGTAGCAGTATGGGAGCCAAGCCACGGCTTTAACAGCGAGAACTCAGGTTTCCTTTTTTTTAACTTCATAAAGGTTAGAATTTCTGTAATCTGCACTTCACAAGCGCTCCTCATCATGACCTCGCAGTCCGGACTCATCCTGCAGTTCTAACCTCTCTCCAGGTACATCACTGGTCTGTGAGTTGTCTCTGGGCCAGGCAGGACCTGGCAGAACAGACCCTGACCCGTCCTTTTCACGCTCGCCCGTGGAAATGCCATCTGGCTGGTGTGAATGATTACCACAGCAACGGCCGGGCGACCTGCAGCCAGCGGGAACCAAGGTCACTCTACCTCAGCGCTTCGCACTTTCCCTGCCCTCTTTTCATCAGCCTGCAGGTGAATTATTCATCCTGTGAAACTCAGGGGTGCAGATCCTCTGCACAAACACCAAAATTAAATAAATAAATGCACACTCAGTTTGCTGAAATAATAACTTGTAATGAGAAAATGAACGTTGAAGGATAAATAGCAGGAGAGAACGGCGCGCTAGGAGCAGGGAGGGTGAAACAGCTGTAGTGACAACCATGATGGAATGAGAAATAAGCACTTTCGCTGATTTTCTGACACATGTAGCAGGAGGTGTCACATTGAAGCCACAGGCATCCTCACCACCACAAGCCTGCAGGTTGACTTCTAACAGAGCAACAGTGAGTCAGATTGAAACCATCGAATCAGTGCGACTTTCATTCTGTCATGTATCAAACTCCAGACCTCCAGGGCCGCCGTCCTGCAACTTTTTGACACCTCTCTGCTTGACTGCACTTGAATTCTGAAGGTTAGCGATGAGCAGAACTTGAATGCATGAGGAGGAAATGCAGGGGTGTTGGACTCTGGATTTCTTTCTCATAGGCGACCTGACCAAGACGGCAGGAGAGAGTAGTTCAAAGCATACCTGGACACAATGCACACAGTCACTGCTGAGATCTCAGCATGGCTTTGAATATATTCAGGGACACTGATGTCTGCAGATGCTGTTCAGGCTTCAGGAACCCAACCAACTTTCATTTCTGACAATCAAATCTCAGCTAAACAGAAACTTTTCCTGGTTTCAAAATCAAAGCGAGCTAAAAGTAAGACCCAATTCAGCCCAGGTATGTCTTATTGTGCGTACATTCATGCTGTCTGACTAATGGCCCATTCAAGATGCCTAACTTAGAATGAAATGGAAAAAAAATGTTGCCTAAAAAGAAAACAATTGTCCAACTATGCAGTTGTTAGGATCTATAACGAGTTACAGATCCATCTCTTCTACAGAAAGCCTCACCAGGTAATTTGAATCCAACTTTTCATGTTTAGTATATTACAGAGCAGATGGAAATAAAAAGGCTGAGGAGGTTTAATTTTAAAGTACAAACAAAAATGGTGGCCTCTAAGCATTCCTTTTTTAGCAATGCGGTTATTCAGTTATTACGACCTGCATTTTTCTCTCTACTCCCAGCTCAGGTGTTTTTAAACTTCTCCATCTGACTGGTTATGATATTCAGTCTCCTTTCTAATAATGTCTTCAGAAGTGATGCACCAACTTACTGGCCAAAGATTATTCATAGTTTTTCTAGTTCCATAGAAAACACAAACATTCCCAATATTTTTAGACTATAAACATCAACGATCAGCCTATTAGGTCGGAATAATCTGGTATTTTTCTTAGATTTCAAAACTGCTTTCCATATCAAAGCACCTGCAGCACATACTTTTACTTTTCTCTGTATGGAACCCAGCAAAAAAAATTGGAAATTCTGTCCAGAAAGAGAAGGAACCAGTGTAGTTTGCTTCCTTTTATCACTCAGGAAGACATTCATCCATAAAATAGCAAGCATGCTTCCAGTGAAGACTGTTAAAATGTAGGAAAAGCGTTTTAAACATGAACTAAAAGTTTCTGGTCCATTTCTTTAGGCCCAGCTGCTCATAAAGCTTTCCAGGAACTGTGGTTTGGTTTAGCTCAAGGGCTGCTGAGACAGCTTCATATGAACATCCATAACCATCTAGCAATCCTGAGGAGTAAAAACGGGCATCTCAACCAGCAGAGACAAGATTACACTGCAAAAAGGAACTGCCAAGAGTTATAGCTTAATATCGGTCTTTATGAAGATGAAATTTTTGTTTAGCATTTTATTTTGACCACAGATCCCACCTAAATATATCAGTTTGACTTTATCTGTAGGGTTTGTTTCATAATATCCTCATCCTGGCTGATTAGGAGGCTGAAAAAAGGATAACATTTTTACAAGAAATAAATATGAGAGATTTTAATTAAGTGTCTTTGTTGGGCCAATAGTTTAAGCTTATATACCAGTTTATATATAGAGCTAATGGTAAAATCAAACTTGCTGGGAAACTACACCAGTTTAACCAGTTTAATATGGTTTTATGTCCTAATCTCTGTTGAATTATAAATGGGAGAACAACCCTAACCTAAACATAACATAAGTGTCTGAGCTGTTAAATGTTTTTCTTAATATTTTTAAAATATATGATATTCTTAAATCACTTTACTGAGTGCAGACAGCAACAATAGCGGCTGCTCCATCCCCGCCCCCGGCCCTGTGGTTCCATCTCAGCCGGAGGAGGGGACGGTCCAGCCAGCGGCAGGGAGGACACAGAGCCCCCGGGGTCTGGTGTCTGATTCCCGGGCTGTTTGTCCGCCTTAGCCGGGCGGGACCGACGCGCTGTTGTCATTTCTCATGTTACAGAGCATCAATCAGAGGGTGCCCTCTCTCCGGCTGAGGCTGATTTACAAACATTAGCGGGGAATACAATTACACAGCCCCCACCGGCAGCCAGCCTACCGACCGAGGAGAGCAGCCCTATGCGGCTGGAGGAGAGAGGAGGACCCTGACAACAGCAGAGGAAGCCACGAGGCTGAAAGTTGGTGCTGACAGGCAGCTTCATGAGGCTGATCCACAGAAAAAGGCTAAAATAACAAACTGCTCACCTGCCACAGTCTCCACGCCATTATTCAGAGGCATTCTGCCGCCGCCGCTCCAACAACCTAAAGGCTCAATTCAAAAAAAAAAAAAAAACACTGCAACGCTGTCAAAATTCAATTACTCTACATATATCCTCTAAAAAAAGAATAACTTCCTGAATCATAAATCAAACTTTGTCTGCGGTCCTGAACGCTCACAGTTCTAACTTCAGTCCCCGCAGCCGCAGCGCAGCGGCCGCTCGACAAAAGCCGCATAAAACACGAAGCTGCCTGAGAAAAGTTGCAGCTACGTCCGGGAGCAGCGATCCACAGACGCCTTAAAAGTTTCCCTTCGCCTGCTGCCACCGAGCTGCTCGGTGAGGATGAAGAAAGCAGAAATAAAGAGCAAAATAGAGGCAGGAAACCAGCGGCGCTGTCCGCGGTGCTGATCCCAGAGCGGCGCTGTCCGCGGTGCTGATCCCAGATCGGCGCTGCTAACACTGAGCCTCGGTCGGTCGCTCCACCGCCGATCAATGATTGAACTGAACAAAGGCAGAACACGGATCAATTTCTAATAACTATCAATGCAAACGGCGCCAACTCTCCGCGTATTTTCGCCCGAATCGAGTTAAGAGGCATCGGGAAGCTTTTAGGAGACACGCCGCTGCAGAAAAAACGCAGAGAAAGGTGAGAAAAGCACTAACCTGAAGCCGCCGTAGATCAAATTTCTTCCAATATTGAAACATCGATCCTACATCGGCGGCCATCTTGGGGGATATTGAGGAGATTTTTTTTCGGCGGCTGCAATAAATATGTGGGCTGGATTCCCCCTCGTTAAACAGCGTTTACGGTCACCGGTCCCACTTTTCTCTCTTTTTTTTAAGGAAACTATTTAAAACTAGAGTCCAACGATGTGTCTGACAAGTATGTCAGCATGTTTGTTTTCCTCTTTAGGGCCAATAAAAGGGGTGGGGGGTGAACTATATTTACCCTCCGTCTTTAAAAATATATAAATAAAAGAAAAAAAAAGGTAAAAATGTATCCCTCTCTTCTTTTTTTTATTATGCTTTGGCAAAGTTATCAATACTGAACCCAGCTTTGATCAATACGGTCTGGAAAAGAGAATGAGATGAAGTGTAGATAAGTTCAGTTCTGGGAAAATAGCCAAGCCTACTTTTTTTTTTTTTTTTTTTTCCTGTTTTCCCGCATGTTTGTAGGATCAGCCGGAACGTTACAATTAGACACAGGGGGGCAAATTAGAAAAGCTGCATTATCAATACATGCGTAGGGCTCTATTATTAGGACGTCACCAAGTGCACATCCAATTTTTATGTCAACTTGGAGATAAAAGTAATCACATTTATGAATAAAATGCTATGAAACTTTTTAGATTCTGATAGTATTCATTCCTAAACATTCTTTAGTAAAGAGGTGCACAATTTTAAAAATAGATAGATAGATAGATAGATAGATAGATAGATAGATAGATAGATAGATAGATAGATAGATAGATAGATAGATAGATAGATAG